TTAATTCCAAGTCCTGACTCATTTATTGGCTGTTCTGTTTTTTCTTTTTCTACTGACATTATTAGAAAACTTACTACTTTCACTGAATTTTTGTAGAGTGGTTCATATTTTGTTGGTTCTAAACTCAATTTCCCATCTTCACTTTTGGTATCATTGAGAAGTAACATCAGTGACTCAGTGGCAGGAGCTCGGGAATGTACTTTTTTTTGTAGGACTGAGCAGTTCAATGGTAATCCCAAAACCTAAAGGGAATGCCCATCACTGTGTTAGGGAGAGGAAATATTTTAGATTTAAACAGTTCCCAATAAGTCATTATTGCCTGAGCCTGTGTAAGACTTAGCTTTTATGTTTTTTTCTTTAATCTGGAAGGAGAAGGAAACACAGATCTGTGCAAGACTTGATGTATTGTTTGCTTGAAGGGTTTTACTGTTGTGTGTACACTTTTCTGTTTCATTCCTAGATATGTTTTGTGTTGCCATTATCCATATGCATTCCTCATCACATTCAATCCTCACAAAAAGTCCTATGAGTTCAGTAAAGTAAATCTACGATATGCATTTAACATTAATTGTGAAGTAAATTATTCTTATTTTACAATTTGGAAAACTGAAAAATGAGCTTGTCATTTGTCTAAAGTTACTCAAGGATAGGGGAGCTGAAATAAAATCCTTGCTCCCAGTGTGGCTTTCTTTTCCCTATATATATTTTTTCTTTGGCCAGATAGTTTTTCACAGTGTGATTTGTGGCTCTTTTACTCTATTGCCTATACTGTGAAAAGAATCCCTGGATGTCTGTCAGTAGCCAAGAAGATAGGTGGGGGAGGGAGCAGGATGGATGACTTCCCAAGGTTGTGCTGACTGAGAATACTCATGGTCTACTTATCTCTCTAGGGCAGAGGGATAGTTCACTTTAGATCAGGGATGGGGAACGTGTGGCCTTCTAGGTTCTTAAGTGCAGCCTTTTGACTGAATCCAAATTTTACAGAACAAATCCTTTTATTTTTATTAATACATTTTTGTTTGTCTTTCATATTTTTATTTTATTTTTAAAATGAACATATTTAACATACCAAAGAATAAAATAAGTTTTAACAAAATAATCCTTCCAGATTGACTGGCACAATTAGAACATCAGTAAGCCATAAGGGCTAAATTGACGGCTGCTATGCTCATGATTTAGTTCTAACTTCCCCTACCTGACTGGCACCACTGCCTCATGAGCTGGTTGGCAAGAGTTCATGGGGGGGTCAAGTATGCCAGTCTGTTATCAGCTTTTGACAGTGGTGCACTGTGTTTCTGTTTAAAGTGGAATTTGTGAATAGTTGCATAGCTCGACAGTATTTTTTAA